TGACAATGAACTACTATCACAGACGAATGATTCTACTGCTGTTGTTGTCTTATGACTTAATTGGCTTAATGACTTAATTGGTCTTATGACAGATGCTTTGATGCGTAAGCTCCAGGTATGCTACCCATCCTGTCCACGATATTAACTTGCAACAGTTGATTGAATTCACCGTTGTTTTTGAAGGATATCTCTAGCGTGCCATCAGCGTCGAAACCGTCGCAAACTGTGCGCAGAGGTGTTCATCCCTTTATGTCAGACAAATTTAGATCGGTCCCTCTTTTTAGCGGTAATTTAGCTACATTCTTGTTGGTCCAGTTGGCAAAGCCCAGCGTATCGGCATCCAAATCTTCTAGTTCTGGTAACTCTTCTCTTCAGGTTCTGGCTCGTAATGAAACAGTTGACAGTGAAATGATATATTCTCAGCCTTCTCCATTTCAGGAAGAGCACACAGGGAATAGTACAATAGTGTTGCGTTCGCGAAGAAGATTTATTATTTTGTTATTCATGCGTGATTGTGCTGAACGATGTCTGACGACGATTTCAATTCCGATGATTATTCCAGTAACAGTAATAACTATTTTGATTATGATGATAGCCATGATGTCTGAAGTCTGTTGGACCTGGTCAGGACTTGCGTAAAATAGTAGTCCATCTGCCGGTTGCACTCATCTTTAAGTAGGCCCTGCTGCCCAGAGCAAAGTGTAGCGGTGAATAACAGGTTTTCGTCCCAAAATCCTATCTGGGTTTGAGGAATTTCTCAACGATGTGTACCAGCCAGACATGCAGACCACGAAAAAATGTGCGAGTCCAGACTCGTCCACGTAGTTCTAACCGAATCTATCGTATATTTTAAATAAAATTATGGGTAGTATATTCCTAGATATTAAGTGTAGAGGTGTATGTAGGCAGGATATGTCTGTACGATTAATATAGTTTAATACTGTCTTGTCACTGGTTGTATTTTCTCTTTATGGACTAATACTGTTTGGGAGCTGGAAAAGATAACACAAATTGAGTAATGGTATACGACAATGGCTAAATACTGACTTCCAGTATCTAGCCATAAAAAGAAAATTAATATTAGCAATTATAAAATTGATAATACTTTTTCTCATTTAATGCTGGATAAACAAGATTGGGAATTTTATTATAATTAACTATCCCCTTTAAAAAGAGCTCTTTTTAACGAAAAACCGTTACAAATTTGTAATTGGCTCAAACATGATTTTTGTGAAAGCTTACTCCTAGGAACACTTAATGTAAAAAGTTAGACAAGATTAGATGGGTGGATCATATAAATAATTGTAAAAAACCGTTGTTTTTTCAGAAAACGAATTTGACCGAATTTCAACTTTAACTCTCGCTATCTCCAATACAAGAGTAATCGATGTTTTTGGATGAAATTTTGAGACAACACTCATAATATGTGACTGATGTGAGATATTATTTTGAAATGTCATTAAATTGTTTTTAATTTTTTTTTTAAAAGAGAAACCGCGCGAGAGGTCGGACGCCACCAACTGAACAAAAAACCACGTTTTTTCTTCTTTCTCTCGCTATATCTCGCTAAAATCAAAAAACGCCTCTCTGGAAAATGTTTGTATCGATGGAAAATTTTCTGATCTTTCGATCTACACTATTTAAAAAAATCTTAAAAATTAAGTTTTTGAGATAATCGACTTTAAAGTTTTCCCAACGATTTTCCCGGGTAAAGCGGAAAATTTCGGAAAATCTGACCTCACCATCGGAAAGTTGAGGCGATTTCCCATCGAAATCATGGGTTCATTTTTTTCTCTAGGTGCATTTTAGTACTTTTACAGCGATTCACAAATTTAGTGATTTGACTTAATTCTGCCGCGCCACGCGGCACTGGGAGAGTTGACGTGAAATGCCACTTACATTCTATATCAATTAAAAATATGCATTTCTTACGGATGAAAGGCTGATCTCAATGAGCTGATAATATATATTAATGCAAATATAATTATAAGTAGAATTCACTTTCTTTTAAGGGGCTATTTTACTTTATCCATTTCAAAAAATCGATTTTTTTTTATTGCATTTTTTGAAAGTAAATTTCTCAGAAGTATCGAGTTAAAATTTCAGAGAGATCAAAGCCTTTTAAGTATACTTTCTCCTGCGACATGCGTCTTTTAGTGCGTGTGTCCGAATACACCGCGCCCCTTTTTTCGAATTTAGGCTCATTATGTACATACATGAAATGTTATAACCTACTGTATAGGCTCCCTATAAGCACTGAGCACGTGGTTTTAGATTGATTTGATCAACGATATTAAATGATGCTGATCGAAACGAACCTAGTGATTTACGAAAAGTATGAATTTTTTTGAAATTATAATTGTTCTAACAATGTATAATAGAACACTCCGTTGCAGTTGGCTGTGTCACGTTTTGATGTCGACCTCACCAGATCGCTCTTGGAACACGGCGCTAGTCTCGACAGTTTGAACGAGGATAAAATATTTAACGAGAATTTCAAACCGATCGAACTGAAAAACTATCCTTTGACTTGGAACATTATCGAGGTAATAAAATTACTGCAGTCAGCTGGCTACATACTAGATCTCAAAACTAGACTCAGAATGATAACATTTTGGAAGATAGTACGTGGTAATGATATAGACCATTCAATTCCTCACAATAATGTATGGGGAGGGGATTGGGTGAAATACATGATAGTAGTAGATCAGCTCTACTTTTATGAGAGATTTGGATTTTTTATAAAAAAAGAAGCTGCAGATTATTTGCATAAAGAAAAAGAAAAATTGAAATCGAGACTTGTGGGCGAGTATAAAACTCTTCCAGAGATAAGCAATGCATGTGAGCGTGAAGTTGCAAAATTAAATGACATTAAGCTAAACAACGACATTTCGCTTTATCAAATTTGCCAAATGAGTTACGATAAAGGTTACTCAACTTTAAAGAATATAAAGAATTGGCGTATACCATCGTTGGATGGCTTAGAGCATGGTTATATAAATCTCATGGTGAAAAGACACATGGCAAACATTTTGATGAGGCAACAATTGGAATTATGCGCTGCCGATTTTTTCATGACGGATTACTGTTTATTAAATATGCCATATACTGTTTGTCGAATTTTGACCGAAAAAATGTGCGACGAGGATCTATTTCGTTTGTTGGATCAAAAGAATGTAGAGAGTCTGATGAAGTCGTTGCTGGCGCAACAAAGTAAAAAACCGCATGTCCAAGACCATGCGGTTTTGATCATTCATGAAAAGGACGAAGATAATTTTAGTACACCGCCAGTGCCCAAAAGACGACGATTGAATGACGAAGAAAAATCTTGACATTTTTATGATCATGTGCTAGGAATTTTCTGAATTGAAATAAAAAAACCGCTGCCAATTTATTGGCAAGGAGCTTCCTCAAAAAAATCATATCAATGAAAGGGTTTGGTTATTAAAGGAAAAATTCGTACTTCATTTGTGAATTTTGAATTCCGTTTTCATATTTGTATACGAAACTCAAAAAAAAAACTTAGAGATTTCTAGAATTTCGTGTAAAATTCCCTTCTATCTATCTACCTATTTTTTTCCAAAAAAAAACCAGTTTGCAACACGATACAAAAAAGCATAACTTTTTATCTACTCGGTGGATACTAAAATAAGTTTTTGACGCTTCTTACGATATGCACCATAGAAATTCGGTTTCAGCAGCCCAAAATACGTAAGAAAAAAATTGGTGCACCCATCAAAGAACACGTGACCACGGTAGGCCCGGTGGACCGACCATGATCCATAGTAGGAGTGTGCGATTACCCGAAAAAACTCGACTACATCGAGTTTTCTTTTGAGTTCCCCATTAAAAAAAAAAAAAAAATCCATTCGATGATTCATGACCGAGTTAATTTGTAGAAGCAGCCTAGTAAATTGTAGTTGCAGTGTCTCTGTATTATTTCTACTTTCTCTTGTGTACTCACCGCCTGAAGTGAGAGTCTAGCAAAGTAGGGGCGTTGCCTACGCTTAGCCATCTGCTACTGACATTATAGCAATGTCGTAAGCGAGAACGGCCTTCACTATGCCAGATTAACATTTTCTATTCATTACCGAATTCAAAATGACGTAAGCTGTTTGATATATATAGATATACTAAAACAGCAGAGAACAGCTCCCTGTGCATCTGCCCTCTAGCGGATTTCATGTAGGACACATTGCCTCATACAGATCGTAGTCAGCGTTGGTTTCAGTGGGCTCTACGCTCACAGTCTATGCCGAGTAAGCGCCACGGTGGCGAGAAATTGAAGCGCGCAGTCGAGCAGTCACTACCATAAGCGCGAAGTTATTTTTGAACTTATTAGATCAATATTAATAACTGAATGATGAATTAAATAGTAGGTATTGTTATTAATAATTGTTATCAACCCTAAAATGGTACATTGATTAACATAGATGCAGAGCCCGTGTTTGGCTTTGTTAATGTTTTCTTGCCGATGCACCATCATTTTATACCGTATTAATCTAGTGTACGTTTTGATCTAATATATATTAACAAATAAAAACGATGCGCATATATTTACGTAACGCGTGCAAACATCGCTCGACTATTTCTTCGATAAAAGTATCATATAAGAGATTGTTCGTATAATAATGTAAGATACACCATATTATCAATCAAAAAAATCAAATAAAAGCAACACATTAACAAAAAATTTATGAATAGAATTATGTTTATGTTTAGAAGATAAAAAAGCCGAAAAAAAATTTGAAAATTCCTTCGCGCGCATAGATCGCTGACCGCTTAACTGCGGCTCGAATGTTTCGGTTTCTCGCCACTGGCGGCGCTTACTCGGCATAGACTGAAACCAACGCTGATCGTAGTGCATGTAAAAGATCAGTACAGGCTACGAAGCGGCAGCGTAAACATCAGGAGATATAGCAAGTGATTCTCTTAAAAAAAAGAATAAGATACATTTCAAGTTACAAGTGATTGTGAATTGTGTTTGAGCGAGTTGAACGATGGACACATTCGAAGATGGATCCACTGCAAGTTTCGATGGACAAAAATTTTTAGAGACATTGAAGAGTTTAAAAACAATTACCAACTGGGAGCTCGTAGATGAGCGACGCAAATTCATCCATCAAGTTTATCCTTTAATCGAACAATATTTCAGCCAAATTCCACTACGTCTAAATGTTCAAGACGTTTTCAGTTCCGAAGACGTCGAGCGTCTTGCCATCGATTGCATCAACTTTGAGCATGAGATAGAATCCAAAAGGTTCATTGCCTTCCTGTGTAACACCGGCTATAAGGACGAGCCCAAACTCGATGGAGACGGCAAGCCATCGTCGCGTCGCACAACACCAGTACATATTGCGGCTAAAAAGAGTCCACTCATCTGTTTCTGTCTTTTTGATATATACAACCGATACGACGTCAATTACACCGACGAAACTGGACTGTCGCATTTCCATGTGGCCTGTATGCATGCCTATTTGGACGAAGCCAAGAAATTTCTCGAGCTCGGCCAAGATCCTAATTGCCTCTGGCTAGAAACAGGAGATTCACCACTACACTTGATTCTGTCGGAAGCCCGCGATGATTCCTTGGAAGACAAGGAAACGGTCGAACTACTACTGAGAAGTGGTGCTGATCTTAATTTAGCCAATAAGGAGGGATTGACTCCTTTGCACATTATCAGCAAGAAATACACTTCCGGGTTAAGAGAAGTTCCTGAAGTGCCGAAGATGTTATTCGAAATCAGTGACGAATTGAATCTGCCGTTGCTGATCGATGCTCGTGACAAGTTCGGTAATACACCATTGCATTTAGCACTGCTCAACAACAACGTTTATGTTACTGAAATGCTGCTGAGAAGAGGCGCCAATCCGCATCTGGCCAACGACGAGGGATCGTCACCTTTGCACCTATTTTACATGAGACGCGATTATTATGATATCGGTTTGATGGAGTTATTTTTCAAAATCTGCGACGAAGTGCATCTGACGAACGAGGATTTATATCATATTTGCTTGGCGGTTGCAGGAAAGAGTTCGTGATGGCGTTAAACATTTTTTGTATTCATTATTGTATTCATATGTCTTTTTTTAATAAAATTCTGTAGACTTTTTATAATAATTCAAATAAATACATTCTTTACTTTGAGTTCCCCATTTAAAAAAAAGAAAAAACCAATTCGACGATCGATGCGTCGAGTTATGTGTAGAAGCACGTGGCGTTGCTTATGCCTAGTCATGTGCTATATTGATATTATTTCCTCGAATTTTCTTATACACGAGTGACCCCCACTATGCTGGATTTAGACTTTCTAATCGTTACCGAATTCAATGACTATATCATAACTACTTTTATCTCTTGTAGCTTCACCTGCGATTTAATTTCAAAAAAGAATCGGTTCATCATATGATTTAACATTTACAATTTAATTCAATCATTGAAAAATTGAAAAAGTACTTTACACATTTTTTTCTTTACCTATCTTTTTAATTTTTTTTTTAAATTATGAAACAAAATTTTTTTTATTTTCGGTCCTGAGACCATAACAAAATCTGGAGACAAGCCTTTCCCATAATTCCTTAGTGTAATCTTCGCTCTTAATCAATTTAACAATAAGTAAAAACCATCTTCGGAGGAAACTCCTTGCCAATAGATTGACAGCGGTTAATTCCATAGTGATAGTTTATTCGCGAAATTGATATAGATTTCATGTAAAACGTGAATTATACACGACTTCAAATTATTTTTTTTGATTATTCATTTTTACGGAAATTCGATAAATTTAACTTAAGGCTCGTAAGTACATAAAAATCAAAAAAAATTTATTTCATTTTTGAAAAATATTTTTTCCTCATTTTCATAGCATTTTTTAAATTTCAAGATGTTTATTTTTTACTGCGTTTCAGCCGTTTCCGTGAGCCTTTACGTACGTTTTGCATGCAATGTTACATTTTACGATACAAGTGCCATGAGTAACACTTTTTAGCCCGGCGTAGTTTAGAGTCCGAGTGTAACGAAAATTACTATTATGTGTTTCCAAAATGCACCTTACTTCTCGTAATTTTCAGAACAAACCATTAAAGTTGCAGCACGTGGATATACTTCTTCAGAACATGAATAGTCACAGACACAATCACCGGGGAGATAATTGAACTTTGAGCTTTCTTGCTGCAAGAACTTTCATGTTAGATATTGCGAAACATAACGTAAAATGAAAAAATAAGTAGTTTGCGTATTTGTGACCATTGATGTTCTGAAGAAGTTTACGCAATCCTGGTAGTGTAGCTTCATCGGTTAGCTATGAAAGTTACAATAAGTGAAGTGCATTTTCGAAAAATAAAAAACGCCAAAAAGCGCAAAATAAGCTATGATAGTAATGATATCAAACATATTCTGACAACTATTCACACGCAAAATGAAATTTTCTTTTTCAAACTCTAATTATACTAAAAGTCTGAAAAATAATTCAGTACGTGATTCTTAACAACTATTTTGTATAAAAAAACCTTATTTATGATTCTACTTGCCCGGCCGTCTCAATCGAAATCGATGCGAACCTTTACAACATGATGAAAAGAAAGCTTTGCGTACTTCCAATATAGCTGAATTTATTTTATTACAGAACCAAATTTTTCAGTCTTTTTTTCAATTTTTTTATGCTTATGATATAATGTTTGAAGACGATTCATTTTTTATGCAGTGTATTTATTTCATTAATTACACCATGCACTAACTCTTTATCAATTTATAAACTCATGTCCTCCAATAAGCTTTTCTTATCAAAAGGAAAAAAAATTCCACATGCTATCCAAAAATATTGGAATAAAAATTTTTTTCAGATGTTAAAGAATCATTTATAGCAGTAATAACTGATATTATTAAATTTTCAGTATAAATTGACATTTCTTATTAAATTCATGACAAAGGCGAACGTCTTGATCTCGATTGAGACGGCCGGGCAAGTAGAATCATAAATAAGGTTTTTTTATACAAAATAGGTGTTAAAAATCGCGTACTGAATTATTTTTCAGACTTTTAGCATAATTAGAGTTTGAAAAAGAAAATTTCATTTTGCGTGTGAATAGTTATCAGAATATGTTTGATATCAGTAAAATTTTAGATCAATAGCATGAATAGTTTTCATTTTTCAACAAAAGGTACAATTACTTGTCGTCAAAGTAAAAAATGAGATTTTTCTGTTTCAAAGTTTAAACCAGAATTTGTAAGCTATTATCATAAAATTTGAGTATGTGTTCCAACTAACTATTTTATAATAGCTTGTAAAATTTTACATCAATAACATGAATAGTTTTCAATTTTCAACCAAGGGTACAATTTCTGGTCGTCAAAGTAAAAAATGAGATTTTACTGTTTCAAAGTAAAGATCTTATTTTTCTGAATTTCAAATATATATTAAAAACTTCGTCTTCCTCGGAGAAAGTCGTCGCTGGGTCGATATTCATACCTGGTTCACCAAGTAGGCCACCCTGGTGAACGAAATAGCGGAAATGGTTCGACTTCCTCAGAGAAAGTCGTCGCCGGGTCGATATTGATACTTGGTGCACCGATTTGGATACCCGGGTGAACGAAGTAATGAAAACATCTCGACTTCCTCGAAAAACATCGTCGCCGGGTCGGTATTCATGCCAAGAGTTTCAAGTGGGCTACCGTGGTATATCGAATAATCGAGGTAATACTCTACGAGAAGAAAAACCTCATGTGTATGTGTATGTATGTATGTATCGATGTATGAGTTTACGAAAATGTATTATTATTATTGTTCACGATGATATACATCGTCGGTGTAACAACGTATGAGCGTATGACGTGAACACAGCAAATGGTCTGAAACTTTTTTTGGTCTGACCACTTTTTGGTAAGAACGTTTTTTGCGAAGTGGATTTTTCTTTCAATCGCTCGTATTTTGTTGAAAATAAACTTTTTTCGGTATGTTATACACATCGTTGGATTGCATTTTTATTCAGGATTCCATAGCACTTTACAGAATTAAGATATCTGTTATCAAATTCAAATGAAAGTGAAAAAGAGTTTTCGCGGGCAGCGTGTACGCNTGTAAAAGATCAGTACAGGCTACGAAGCGGCAGCGTAAACATCAGGAGATATAGCAAGTGATTCTCTTAAAAAAAAGAATAAGATACATTTCAAGTTACAAGTGATTGTGAATTGTGTTTGAGCGAGTTGAACGATGGACACATTCGAAGATGGATCCACTGCAAGTTTCGATGGACAAACATTTTTAGAGACATTGAAGAGTTTAAAAACAATTACCAACTGGGAGCTCGTAGATGAGCGACGCAAATTCATCCATCAAGTTTATCCTTTAATCGAACAATATTTCAGCCAAATTCCACTACGTCTAAATGTTCAAGACGTTTTCAGTTCCGAAGACGTCGAGCGTCTTGCCATCGATTGCATCAACTTTGAGCATGAGATAGAATCCAAAAGGTTCATTGCCTTCCTGTGTAACACCGGCTATAAGGACGAGCCCAAACTCGATGGAGACGGCAAGCCATCGTCGCGTCGCACAACACCAGTACATATTGCGGCTAAAAAGAGTCCACTCATCTGTTTCTGTCTTTTTGATATATACAACCGATACGACGTCAATTACACCGACGAAACTGGACTGTCGCATTTCCATGTGGCCTGTATGCATGCCTATTTGGACGAAGCCAAGAAATTTCTCGAGCTCGGCCAAGATCCTAATTGCCTCTGGCTAGAAACAGGAGATTCACCACTACACTTGATTCTGTCGGAAGCCCGCGATGATTCCTTGGAAGACAAGGAAACGGTCGAACTACTACTGAGAAGTGGTGCTGATCTTAATTTAGCCAATAAGGAGGGATTGACTCCTTTGCACATTATCAGCAAGAAATACACTTCCGGGTTAAGAGAAGTTCCTGAAGTGCCGAAGATGTTATTCGAAATCAGTGACGAATTGAATCTGCCGTTGCTGATCGATGCTCGTGACAAGTTCGGTAATACACCATTGCATTTAGCACTGCTCAACAACAACGTTTATGTTACTGAAATGCTGCTGAGAAGAGGCGCCAATCCGCATCTGGCCAACGACGAGGGATCGTCACCTTTGCACCTATTTTACATGAGACGCGATTATTATGATATCGGTTTGATGGAGTTATTTTTCAAAATCTGCGACGAAGTGCATCTGACGAACGAGGATTTATATCATATTTGCTTGGCGGTTGCAGGAAAGAGTTCGTGATGGCGTTAAACATTTTTTGTATTCATTATTGTATTCATATGTCTTTTTTTAATAAAATTCTGTAGACTTTTTATAATAATTCAAATAAATACATTCTTTACTTTGAGTTCCCCATTTAAAAAAAAGAAAAAACCAATTCGACGATCGATGCGTCGAGTTATGTGTAGAAGCACGTGGCGTTGCTTATGCCTAGTCATGTGCTATATTGATATTATTTCCTCGAATTTTCTTATACACGAGTGACCCCCACTATGCTGGATTTAGACTTTCTAATCGTTACCGAATTCAATGACTATATCATAACTACTTTTATCTCTTGTAGCTTCACCTACGATTTCATTTCAAAAAAGAATCGGTTCATCATATGATTTAACATTTACAATTTAATTCAATCATTGAAAAATTGAAAAAGTACTTTACACATTTTTTTCTTTACCTATCTTTTTAATTTTTTTTTTAAATTATGAAATAAAATTTTTTTTATTTTCGGTCCTGAGACCATAACAAAATCTGGAGACAAGCCTTTCCCATAATTCCTTAGTGTAATCTTCGCTCTTAATTAATTTAACAATAAGTAAAAACCATCTTCGGAGGAAACTCCTTGCCAATAGATTGACAGCGGTTAATTCCATAGTGATAGTTTATTCGCGAAATTGATATAGATTTCATGTAAAACGTGAATTATACACGACTTCAAATTATTTTTTTTGATTATTCATTTTTACGGAAATTCGATAAATTTAACTTAAGGCTCGTAAGTACATAAAAATCAAAATAAATTTATTTCATTTTTGA